CCCTCCCTCCCTCCCGCCCTCCCTCACTCCTCGTTCTTGCTCCCCAGTTCTATGAGTGCAGCGAGTGTTTGTTTGTTTGTTTGTGTGGTGGGTGCATGCTCTTCGTTTGCTCCATGCCTCCGTGGAGAATGGCATTGCAGGTAGGCATATATCCGCTTCTCGTGTGTGGACGCGTTTCTTTCTCCCTGTCTGAGGGGGGGTTGACTGACTGACTGACTGACTCATCTTATCATCCTTCTTGTCCATGTGATGTCTTGTGGCTGTGTGTGGGTGTGTGTGCCGCGGTATGGCAATCGCATGATGCACACACGTCTGTCCGTTCGCCCACACGTCATGGACAATTGATGCGGTGTTTCTCACCGCATCGATCGCATCGCCCCGCACCGCATGGCATCAGGAGTGAGTGCGCGTCAGTTTTATAGAGGAGGGAGGCCTGACCGAGGACTCTTATCTATCTGTGTATGTATGTCTGTGTGTGTGCCTGCTGATGGGACGGAGTCTGTCTGTCTGTCTTTTCTCATCATTGCGTCCGTGCGGCGTGCGCGTGCTTGCGTTGACTGACACACACACACACACACATGCAGTGTGATGCTATGCTATCTATGTATCCCGTCCGTCCGTCCGTCCACCACCTACCCACCCCTGCATCGCGTCCATCAACTCCCCTCCCTCCCTCCTTTCCCTCCCTCTACCGTACCCAGCTTATGTATCACGTCCACTTCATGTGATGTGCGCGTTGTGTGTGGAGGTTTATTTGGTCAAGACACAGACAGACAGACAGACACTACGTGCGCATCGGCTTTGCGTGCAGGTGCTATCGACTACTCTATACAGGGATGTGGGCTGGTGGGTCAAAAGGGCTTCGGTCGAGATCGCCGGGCTCCTTAGTTGCAGCTCAGTTTCTGAGCCGAAGGCAGCGCTCAGTTTCTGAGCAAGTTGCGAGCTCTGACAATTCAAGCCAAAGTCCCCCCTTCCCTGGAAGATGTCGTCGGTTGCAGCTCCGTTTGTGGTCTCGTCGACAGAGGCGCGACGCCTCATCGCCATACAAGGTACACACACCTCTCCATCTCGCGTGTTGTCTTATGCCGCATCGGCCGCCGTCCCGTCAACCCATCTCCCTATGTGTGTGTGTGCAGGTGGGCGTGTGACCGATGACTCGCAGTGGTCCAAGCTCATCCCGCCTCTGATCGAGACGCTCTGCGGCAAGATCTCCGAGGCCAGCCTGTGGCCAAAAGTCAGCGGACCGCTGATGAATCTGATGGAGAGCGGCGACATATCTGCCAAGGACTGCAGCGACATGAAATGGTCAGGCAGCAAGTCAAGTCAGCTTGACGCCGCACGCACCGCACACAGCTGGAGAGATCTGCGAATGAATGCCATCTGTTCGGCTGTGGTTGTGTTCTGTGTACCTGATCAGGTGGATAGCCTACCCCGTCGACGAGACCGCGGAGGCTCCTGAGGGCACCGAGCTGATCGAGCTGCCCGCGCTCAAGTGTGATTGATGCACAGATGCACATGCACACGCATCGCGTTGGCTGCACGTGCAGCCGCTGACTGACACTGGCGTGACGTGACGTGATTGCTGTGTGTCAGGTGCGCCAAGTGGACGTACACCGGTCCTTACTCAGGTCTGGCAGAGATGTGGGAGGCCAGTGTCAACCAGCTCATGGATGACGGGCATCTCAAGATGGGCAAATGCATGGCAGAGGTGCGTCCGTCCCACACGCCGACACGCACACGCACCTGAGCCGCTGTCCTGTCCTGTCTTGTCTTGTCTTGTCTTGTCTTGTCTTGTCTTGTGCTGTGACGACGAACCAGGAGTACATTGACGACCCCTGCAAGACGCCCGAGGACAAGCTCCGCACGCTGATATGGATCCAGATCGAATGAGTCAACCAAGGAGCGATGCAGACATTCCCACATGACGCTTTGGGTGGACAGGGGCAGGCAGGCAGGCAGGCAGACAGGGAGGGAGGGGAGTAGGGAAGGCGGGGCTGATTCGCTCTTTGGTTAAGTGTCCCTGTGGGTGCTGCTTGACTTGCTTTGGGGGTGAGTGGACCGCCCTGGACGGACAGGGGGGGCATTTTTTGGTCTTGGGTTGTCGTTTGTTCGTCTCTGTCTGCACTGCGTGTGCCTTTATCGGCACACTGACGACCCGGCCGTTCGCTTTTTATCTATCGGTGGCTGTCTGTCTGTCTGTCTGTGGGAAGGAAGATGTCGGTCATGGTGGTGCCCTTTATTATCTCTTGGCTGGACGATACCTACCTATGATGTCTGTGTGTGCGATGCGACTGTGTGTGGCGCAGAGGGAGTGAGCGCAGATCGTGATGTGGCTGCATGGTGGACCGACCAGTCTGTCTGTCTGTCTGTCTGTGACGTGACAATCTCGCCCTTTTGTGTTTGCCCCCTTTGGTAGGTGGGGCGGGGCGGTCGTTCGTCTTGATGCGTACGAGAGAGACTGTCTGGCCAGCGAGCAACCGAACCGATACAGCTTAAATGAAGGCACCTGCTAGCGTGTCGCCTCAACACACAACACAACACACCACTCTCGCGCAAACAGATCCTAAGTGCCCCAAGCGTTCCATCCACACACGCAGGCAGCCAGCTTCACTTTTTTCCATCACGTCTTCACAATCCTGCCCGCAAAGCTCGTCACGCGCTTCTCCAACGCCACATAGGGCTCAGCCGCCTTCTGGTACACCCGAAAGTGCTCGTCAGCGAGCCGCCGCTCAGCACGGGGAAAGAGGTACGACACATGGTAAAAGCCTGTGGCGGGGCAGACGTAGGCCATGCGCATCAGGCGGCTGTCTTGCCGGTGCCACATGGGGTATCGCCTCAGAGTGATGGAGGGGTGGTCGAGTAGCAGCGCTATGACCTCCTCGGGGACGAGGAGGGAGGGGCTCCGGCGGAAGAAGACGTGACGCACCAGGGGGTACAGCGGGTGCTGACGGTTGGATAACACCCAACACCTCTGCACACACCGGGAGGGGGGCACACGAGCGTCATGAGCCAAGAGCCGCATCTGACTCTCTCTCTCTCTCTCTCTCTCATCGGTCACGTACCTCAAAGGAAACGAAGGCTGCGGTGCTCTTGACTGTGGAGGTTACCCTGTGCATGTCCAGCTGGACGCCCTCGATGCCCACCCCTCTGTCCTTGTCAGCCGACATCTCGTCGAGCATCGGCAGGAAGACCTCCTCCACCACATCGGCCATGCTCCTCGGGTGGTTCTGCCCGATGATGGTGCAGGCCTTCATGCCCAGCAGCACGAACAGGAAGTCGCCGCGGCAGGCCAGCATCCTCTGCACGTCAAGCTTGATCCCGGGGGCCGCCGCACGCGCCGTCTGGAAGTAGTTATTCTCGAGCGACACGAAACGCTGGTACGCCTGATGGATCTGACCCATCCCATCAATGGACGATGGACAAGGGCATCGCATCAGGAGCTGAGTAGAACCCACCCACCTGTTTTTGCCGCTTGGATAGCGCCTTGGGTTTGATGAGGAAGAGGCGGTCCCGCCGCTCTGTCAGTGAGGGAGTGTCTTGAAGAGCCGACACCATCGGCATCAGCTCCTCCATCATGGGCGCCTTGCTGTCACCATCTCGCAACCTGACCAACCAACCAATCAACCAACCACCACACACGATAAGGATGGATGACTGCCTCACCGCACGGCTGCCTGCCTGTCTGCCCGCCCGTCTCTTCTCGTCTCGTCTTACCTGACCTCTTTCTCCCCTCCATGAGGGCCGCAGTGGCATCGTCGTATCTCCGCATTCGGATGAGCACTGCCGCCCGCCGCACCCATGCCGGTTCAGACGCAGGCATGCAAGCTGTGGCGGTCTCCGCGCACCGGCTGGCGCGTGGGAGATCACCCAAGTAGAGGTGGCTGCCGGCAAGCCAGTGGTTCAGGTAGCCCGACACGGGGTTGAGACGAACGCCTGCCATGTATCAATCATATATGAAAATGGAGAAGCGGCAGATGCAGGCCTGTTACACTTGATGATGAGCAGTGAATCCACTGGCATACCTGATAGTTTCATCGCTTTGCGGCAGCTACTGCAGCTGGGCGTGCCGGGTGTGGATCTTGGGCTCAGTGTGCCGGACAGGGCCCCAGTGAGTGGTTCATTGGTAGCTGTTGTTTTTCGCCCTTCCTCCTGCTGTTGGTAGCTGTCGAAGCGAGAACGCAGGCGGAGCATAATCAGGGTTTGGGTGCTAGGGTTTCTTCAAAAAGCTCGCATGGGGCCTTCTTCCTTCCTTCCCCCGTCTTCCTGTTAACTGACTCATCGGAGTAGCTTCGGAAGGTGCGTTCGCAGCAGATAGCCCATCGCTCCAAAAACAGCACAGCAGCACAGCTGCCATCATAGCTCTTTGGTGCCGTGACTGCCGTCCGACCTCCTCTTCGGCGGTAAGAAACACACACGAGAGGCGGGAAGCCGCCTCAGACGCCGTACATCGTCCGGAAATCGTGTCGGCATGTATCCGTTGTGTTGTGTTTGTTGAATCAGGCATCTTCTTGGCGTGTGTGTGGCATAGCGGTGTTGTCGCTGCGGTCATGGTACTCACCGTCACGCGCACTCAGGTTGTGAAGGTGGAACAACACTGATGGAGCCGACGGGCATGCAGACAGACATGAGATTGAGGGTTGTGTGTGTTGTGTGTGATACAGTGAGTGGTGAGAAGACCGCATCATGGCGGCCGCATCATCCTCACATGCTGCAGCTGTGTCCCGTGGCTGGAAGCGATCAAATGACCTCGACAAGGAACTGTGGTGTGGCAGATGCGACAATGCGAGCCGCCAGCTGTGCAAAGGCATCATCCGCCGCACCCTCACAAGTGGACAAGATGTGTTACAGCTGATCCAGCGGGACGGAGCCGACCCCAAAATGACGCCTTCGCTGTGCGCGGCTCCGCCGCCGGCTCCGCTGGTCGTTAGCAACGGATGGGGTGTGTATTCACTTCTGTCGCTGGCCATCGACGACATGACTGGCTACACTGTCCCGGCCTTCTGGGCAGAAGACGTGCCCGAGGAGTCTCCCGTCGCCCTACGATGGTGGTCGTCCCCCGAGCTACAGGATGAGATCATGCGCGCCCTGATCGATGGAGGCGCGGATGTTGATGGAGAAGTCGATGACTTTGACGAAGACGCTTGGGTGATGGAGACGCTGCCGCATGATAGGGAGGCGCCAATTCGCGTGGCCATCGCATCGGGCAATCAGAGGGCCATCGACTTCCTGCTGGAGCGTGACGCTAAGCTGAGGGGGCTGGGGGTGCTGTCGGTGCCCAAGACGCTGCCGGCGGACCAGCCGACTGAGGCGTACGAGGACTGGCTGCTCTCGAGATACCGCCAGCTCCTCTGCCGCCACCCCACACTCGCCACCGAAGAAGTGGTGATGGATTGCTTGGGACTAACGGTTCACGCCTTCTCCCAGGCGTTCGTCGACATGTACATCAACCTGCTGGTGACGCACGGAGCGGACATCACAGCACCGCCGGCCCCTCCCGTTGGAGTGTCGCGACTCTGCGAGGCGGCTTTTCGCGGCTGTCATCAGGTCGTGACGTCGCTGTGTCGCCGTCTGACCGCCGAGGACATCAACGCCGGTGGCGTCAACGCCCTCAACGCCGGTGGCGTCAACGCCCCCGACCGGACGCCCCTCCTTGCGGCCGTCGAGGAGCTCGGTGGGGACAGCGACTACGGGCAGCGACTTGGGGTTCCCTGCTACCAGCGCATCACCCGCACACTGCTGAGGGCCGGTGCAGACATCTCCCGCATTCCCACAGACACCGAGAAGCACCGCCGTTGTCGTCAACTGGTGTTGCCCGAGTACGTCACGGTCCTCAACGAGCTGCGGGCTGACGCCATGGCTGCCATCAATGCCGCCCTGCGCCCCCAGCGCAGCTTCGCGGCCCTCCTCACCCACCTGATGAAGCTCGACCCCCTCCCATTCGGACCACAAGAGGCAGAGGCCATCGCCTGGCGCACCGCGGCGTTCTGCTTCGAATGGGACCGCACCGCGGCCATCTGAGTGAGTCGAGTCGAAGGAAGAGCGGGTGGAGGGCAAGAGGTCATGTTTGTCTGTCGATTTAAGCGATATGCCAGCCGGTGGGTCAGTGCCCTTTACGGTCAATTCTGTCTGTCTGTCGCGTGTGAGTCAGTGCCTTATGTGTTTGTCCGTTTTTGTCCTCACCAGCCAGCCATCCATCCCATCTGCATGATGCCAGCGGGTGTGTTTATGTTACCACAACATCTGTATGTCTGCGTGTGCCCTCAATATACATATGTGTATCCGTATGTGCTCCATGTGCGTCCACACACTGCTCGCTGCACGTTCGTGTCGCGTGTGCATGCCGGCATATTTATCTATTTATGCAGACAGACAGACCAGCACTTTGGTGCGTGAGGAACTTTAATGCCAAGCCATGAATGCCCTGATCATGAGGTCGATATTAATATGTGACCTACGCCCATGTGCCAATGAAATGAGGCTGAGAGACACACTCGGCAGTCGTCCCGACCCCATTGCAAGCAGAGAGTGAATGAAAGGATACCCATATTCAGGCGCACACAGACGCAGGCCAAAGAAAGAGAGCATTTGTTTGTGGGTTTGATGTCGAGAATCGGAGACGGCGACAAACCCCATAAACCCTGATTTTTCCCGTTGTTGCCAATGGCTAATGTGGTCTCCTCCGTCGCCCTCTACCCCTCCCAACTCGTCCGGATGTCATCCGCCAAGTCCTTGAAGTTCCTTCCTCCGCCGCGGTGCCCCGGGCAAGGCCTCGCCCGCGGTGCCCTGCCCTCTGCTGAGCGAATGCCGACTGCCGACTGGCTTCCATCAGGTCAGCACACGTGTGTGACCTTGTGTGTCATGTCTTGCCTGTGGCCGGTGATGGTGTGGTGTGTAAATGGTGTGCAGCGATGAATGGAACGGTCCATTTCACTGCCGTGTGTGTGCTCGTGTGCATCCCCTGGGTCATCCTCAGGTGCCAGTGGACCGCCTCCTTTTTTCTCTCCGCCGTCTCATTTTCTCGACATATTTCTCAGAGGTTGGTGAGCGCCTCACGAAGTGGCAATGAACGTCAGTCACCGCATGCATACTCATGTGTCAGCAGAAACTCATAATGCACCCTGTCAGACGCGTAAGAGGCGCGCACGGCGCATCATTGACGGTACGCTTTGCGTCAACGAAGTGAGCTGAAGAGATAAGTGCATCCCCGCCGAGCGAGTGACATCGATGTTGGCGGCGGATCCACCAGTTATCATGTCCGACAGCTAGGGACATCCGTGCGGCGGTGAGGGACTACACACGGCTCAAACACGCAAACGCCGCACTGGAGCAGCAGCTCAGGGAGGAGAGGGCCAAGTACGCCGACCTCGAACATAAATACAATGAAGTGGCCAGAGAGAGATGAGCTGCGGGCAAGGGTGGCGGAGGAGGTGCCCAGGGAGAGGGGCGGAATGGGTGGGTGGATCAAGGAGAGGGGGGGCGTGGTGGACCATCAGTATATCGTCAAAAGTGGGGCGAAGCGGGTAGGGGTGAAGCTGCATGAGGAAAAGGGCATACTTCCTATCAGCCAAGCCCAGGTAGGTGGATTGCCTTTTCACTCACTCTTGCCATTGAGCACTTCTGTGTTTGTGTGTTTGTGTGTTTGTGTGTTTGTGTGTTTGAGCAGCTGGATACCCATGGGTTTAAGTACGACATCATAGCGAAACACCAAAAACACTTGTATAGCTCATTCGGCGAGTACTTTGTGTTGCTATTCGACAAGCCACTCAACAAGTCTCACACAACACATTGCCGCTCATGTGTGTGACGTCGCATGCATTCTCACATGTGTGTGTGTGTCAATGTGTGTGTGTGTCAGGAGGTGTGGGGGGACAGGACGGCAGCACCCGACCGAAACAAGCTGCTAACAGAGGGCGTCTACAAGAACTTCACAAGCCACCGCCCCAACAAGTGGCGCCACCTCTTCACCGCCAAAGAGGTACAACACGGCACACTGTCGACTGTCACTCACTGCTTGTTTCACTTCATGTCTCATATCGGTGTGTGTGGTTCTTTCATTGTCAATGCAGTACATCGAGGCCACCAGCAAGCAGAAGAAGGTCACCATCCGTTTCGCAGCGGGTGACAGCTGCCTCCAGGCGGTCTCGACGGCTCTCCTCCGCTACCAGGAGGCTGAGCCGCGAGCCGTCCGGGGCGCTGTCAAACCGATCATCATCATAGAGACCTGCGACGGATGGATGTGAGCTCAATCTTCACATGCATCAGTGCGTGTCGCCCACGTGTGTGCGTGCGCGCGCGTGTTTGTGTGTGTGTGTGCAGCATTATTATTATCATAATCATATGGTGGATCAAGATCATCAAGGAGAGAAAATGCATATCGTGCCCCGAACTCGACGGCATCGAAAACATACAGGTGCAAACAAAGTGGCCGACTCGCTGTCTGGTTGATCACATTGCCCACCTCTCTGTCTGTCTCGCTGTCTTTGTTGGTGCAGGTGGCGATGCAACCAGTGAGTAGCGGCAAGCGAGACATCACCGACTCCGTCAAGGTACAACCATGTCCACACACAACACACACCCTCCTCCTATCACACACAACACACATCCCTCTCCATCTCTCTCTCTCTGTGTGTGTGTGTCTGTGTGTCACATTTCCTGTCAGCTGGTCCAGTTTATCCAGCAGCAGCACCCCACCCTGACTCTCCGTAAGCACGCCCGCCACGAGTCGGTGTTCGCATTTCGATGTTCTGTCTGTGTCGTTGTGTTGCAGGCGGGATGGTGGCTGGCTTCCTGCTCAACGGAGGCAGCCACTGCCCGCGGGTGGTCAGCAGCCTCCCAGAGGCCTTCACGCTGCTCGAGACGCACAATGACATAGACAAGGTGAACAGCCGGCTCACTCACACGACATTCCACTCACCCTGCACACGACATTTGTCCATCTCGTCTGTGTCTCTCCGTTTGTCTGTCAGGTGGTTGAGGTGGTGAGTATGTAGTAAGCGCCTGGCGGAGGGCAAGCCCACATGCCCGCCCACGCCGCCCAGCTGATCTATGATATCACGCTGGCCGCCATCCACGGCCCGGTGCTGGCCAAGATATCCGACCATAATGACGAGGTACGTGAGCGATCAGTGCACACACATCACATACACATCACTGTCGTGATGTGTATGTCAGATTGCTGCCTACATATTATATTCCAAGGCCCTTACCCCTCCTCGTGGACAGTGCGGGACAAGGAGGGTCAGCCCCCAGTGCCATTGGAGAAGGAGGACAACCGGGGGATGGCGGCTGCCTCGCACGGACAGACCAGAGCACCACGCAGGTCAGGGAAACATGCACGAACATGGCAGCTGTGGCCGCCATTGTGATGGGGTTCATATTCTTTTTTCTGATTTTGGCGGGGAGGAAGAAAGAGGCAGAGAGATAGAAGAGGGAGTTGAGAAGTTGCGTGACTTCATGCGTGGGGAGGGCAAAGAGTGACGTCACTGTTTTACAAGGCTGGATGGATGAATGGATGGATGGATGGCTATGCACATCTATATCTACACACGAGACACGGTGGTTGTTTTAGATGCTCATCGCTGCCTACATTTTATATTGGAGAGGTTGAGCTGCCCATTACAGCAGAGAGAGACCCACGTACGGCGAGTGGATGACTTTCATGCTTGTGTCACTTCGATTCACCCCATTGGAGTGCACATACGTACGTGTCCTTCATGAGTGTTGTCCAACCAGCCGACGAACAAAGAAGCGTTTCAATCTTTAGCTTACGCACCTGCACATATAGTATACACATCGATGTCATGCCACTACACAGACATACACACTGATCGATTCACCGTCCATACATCACAAATAGGTAGACAATGAGGCGGTACACACAAGAAAGTCAACACAAACACGTCCATTTCATGCTACAGTGCAGACGCATTACTCCACACCACTGATCGATCCAACTAGCTTTGCACATCATGATCAGCAACACGGGCACCACCAGCAACCGCTCTTTGTCTGTTGGGCTGCAGCTGGGGAAGGCATGGCGGCCTGCAGCCCACAGAACTCATTCCGCGGCGGCTGAGAGCAGAACTTGCGATGTTCATCCACAAACCTACCGCACACACATCCGATGTGACACACACACATAGATGGATGGATTGCACCTCCTGCCGGTGGCTCACGTTTGTTTGTCGTTGGCGAATCGTGCGGCCCGGCTGTGCAGTGCGTCTGCGAGGAAGGTGAAGTGAAGGTGAGAGCGATATGTCCACGCCGGCGGGATAAGTCCTCCTCTGTTTGGACGCCTGATGGGCGCCTTCCTCGGCAGCGGTCCGTGTGGTGCCGTAGGTGCGCCACTCGTAGCCGTGAGCGGGCGAAAAGCGCCACAGCCCCCTCAGCGTCTCAAACCACTCATCTGAACCACACACACATGACAGATCAACACAGACAGAGAGAGTGGGCATCGGTCTCGGCTGCTGACAGAGGCTGGTGGCCGTCTCAGTGAGCCGTTTGTTGAGCGGCCGCAGCAGAGATGGCGCCTCGTAAATCACACTGTCCAACACAATACGACTGCACCACACACACACAGAGAGAGACCACACAGCACACAACCAGTGGTGAAGCAACCAGCTGTGAGTCAATGTCATGAGTCAATCAGTCGGTCAGTGTACGTTTGCAGTGTGCGTGACGTTGGTCTTTCTCGTCAGTCTGGCGGTGATCCAGAGGTCTGATGGAGAAGCTGATGAGTCCCCGCGGCTGCAGCTCATCGATGGGAATCGGCTGCACCACTCAGTACTCGAGGCCGTCCAAACCACTGCAAACACACACACAAGCAAACACACTCACATGGGTCACAGCGCTGTTGTCTTGCCGCTCTCTGCTTGTCTGTTTGACTCACTCAGGCGCCTCTTCGCCTCTCAGCAGCCGCTCGCAAGACAGCTTGCAGCTTCATTCATTCATTCATTCATTCACTCCTCGTGTGTGTTTGTCATTGTCCTGTATGCGCTGCCGCCTCACAAGAGCAGTGTCCCCTTTTCCAAAAGCTCAGCCTTGTCTGCGAGCTAGGCGAGTAGAGGGAAGCCTGGTTCTTTCGTTCGAGTCTGAGGGATAGGTGGAGCAACTTCCCAGCCGGCGCTTCAGCCCATCCCACGTGTGGACCTCTGCCACATCCAAATGAGAAGGGGATCTCGTGAACCGCAGCTGCTGAGTCAGAGCGACATCGATGCTGCCGTCGCAGATCTGCTTTCGTCATCGGACGAGGCCTTCACAGCGGCAGCGCTGACATTGGCTCGTGCGTGTATCAATAAAAGGCTCAGCAGACAGGAGGCCCGAGGTCTGATCGCCCGGCTCCTCGAGGACAAGGATGGTCTTCGCCGCACACTGGCGCGGCTGGTGGATGACGGAGAGAAGGAGTCTCAGCTGGCTGTGGCCGATCTGCTGCTCTGCCTCGCAGTGGAGATCAAGCCCGCTCTTGCAGCTTTGCAGCCATCTCAGCTGGTCGATGTGGCTGCTGTTGTTGTGGATCTGGTTACATGGAGGCACATATCAGCAGATGGCAGCAGCCGCTGTTATGGGCCCGACGAGAGCCTGGCCGTCAAACACGGCCTCAAAGCTGATGCTGCAGCGGATATCGTCACGCTTGTGCGGCTGGGGCTTCTTATCGCGGCGCTTCAGGCTCTGCGTGAGGCTGCACCGCAGGAGGGCGCTTGTCTCCGGGACTTACTGCTCGCCGGCCACCAGACGACCATCAAGCAGTGCCTGACCGTCACGCGTACCGACATCGAGGGGTCTGTTTCGAGGACGGCGTTTGATGTCTTGAAATCGCTGCTGCTGCCGTTTACGCCGTCGCCATCTTCACCAGATGCGGAGGATCCCGCCCCCATTCCCCTCCAGCTGTCCCTCCCCTTGTTTACACTCCTGGTCGACCATGTGGTGGAGCTGGCGGAAGGGACGACCCTCATGCACGCACAGGGGTTGCTGATGGCGCTGGAGCTACCTGGTCTGGTTGCCCGTGCAGCTTCGTGGCGGCAGGACAGATGTAAGTTGATGAGCAAGTGACCGGCCACCACTCAACCTTGTCGTCTTCTATGTGTGTGTGTCCGTCCATCAGCTCTGCGCGAGAAGGATGTCAAGCGGCTGGTCAGACAACACATTTACCCACATATGGAGACGCTTTTGGGCATCATCGCCTCGGCACAAGGAGGGATGTTGGCTGTGGGGACGGCCACAGTGGGTGCCATTAGTGAATTCAGCGGGCAGTGGGACTCTCCTACCCATGTCCCCCGCTCGTCGTGCCGGCCGCTGCTTGACAATCCCTCGCTGATCATGACGGCCATTAAAGCGGCCAATGCCATTGTCGGCCAAGACGTCGAGCTACCGCCATATGTCTACACCACAATGCTCTTCGTGGGGAAACTGTCATTAACCGTAACACTCGTCCGTGTGTCCGTGATACTCATACAAATACAGTCCCATCAGCACGCAGACCCAAACAGGCTCAAGGGGAGGAGGGATCAATCCCCGCCCCATCAGCACACCCCAGTCC